GCACAACCTTTGTCTGATGACGTATCCATTCTTCAGTACCCATTTTAGTTCCTAACCAGGTATCTGTGGAAGGGATATGAAGAAGCTCCTAGTCTGCAGAACTCTATTAGTGTTTTATATTCCTTAACCAAACTTCCTATAAAAAGGTAATATAAGACACATATCCAGTCTAACACACAAAGGCTTTGGGAAGCTCCATTTAATTGTTCTTCAAATGATTTCAGTCATCAAGCAACAACAAATCACTGGCAATTACTCAACAGAGTGACTGACAGAAGTAAGGACATTAAGTAATATGCTTTTTATGTCAATTTATATGGCATACTGATTGCTTTTTAGCAATTGTGAATATAAATGTAATAAATATTTTCTCGTAGTGAACTATTTTTGCTCAATTTTTTTGCAATTAAAATATTTTGTTCCTGTTTAAGTATCTGTTGCATTAAGAAATACAATATGTAAGGGTTTTTAATTTATTAATAAAATAGCAAAAATGGAGACTACAACTGTTTGTAGAACTAGCTCCTTATCTCTGCTCTTCAGACTTCAGATATTTCATGTGATTATTTTAGGGCTATAAAACATACATTTTCTGTAAAGATTTTAGGAGCAACTTCAAATTTTAAACACTTTAGTAGAAATACAGTAAAACAGCTTAGAGAAAGCTGAAGTACAGCAGTAGGTGTTGAAAGGAGACACCAAGTTATTTGAAGGCTTGAAAAATGTCTTGCAGTGAAAAACTTATATTAGAATTGGCTAGAAATGCTTTGATGGAATGTTTTCCAGCTGATAGTATCTATTCATCAAATTGAAACTCTGCTGGAAAGGATCAATTTTCTTATATCTGGTTTTGAAATGTTTCCAGCAGTTTTAAAGTTCTTAAAACATCCTTTTTCAATATTTTCTAAATGAAAAAAAAACCCTACAACTTTCATTTCTAAAAGCCTTCCTCACAAAATGTAATCTAATTATGCCAACCATTTCTAAACTGAGCTGGAAATATTGCAAATTACCCAAAATTGAATGGCTTCTTCAATTTTTGGGGTTTTGGTTGGTTGGTTGGTTGGTTGGTTTGGTTTGTGTTTTTTGTTTGTTTTTCATTTTGGGGGTGTTTTTTTTATTTTTTATTTTTTGTATTCATTTCTGGTAGATCATCAACATTTTCAAGAGTTCTCCTTTTTGTCACTTTGAGAATGGAAAAAAAAAATTGGCCAGCCTGCCTGAAAATTCAGCTGGTTCAATTTATCAAAAAAGTTCCTTCAGCGGGTCATACTTCTGTATCAATAGATTAAATTCACTTTTGACCACGTAATGGATTTGTGTGGTCAGGTTTTGGTAGTGGGGGTCTACAGGGCAGCTTCTGTGAGAAGCTGCTGGAAGTTTGCCCCATGTCTGATAGAGCCAACACCAGCCAGCTCCAAGACAGACCCACTGCTGCTCAAGGCCCACCAGCAACAGTGGTAACACCTCTGGGATAATGTTTTTAAGGTTATCTGTGCATCAGCAGCTGGAAGAGTGAAAATGTGTGAGCAGAACAACTCTGCAGACACAGAGGTCAGTGAAGAAGGAGAGGAGGAGGTGCTCCAGACACCGGAGCAGAGATCCCCCTGCAGCCTGTGGTGAAGACCATGGCGAGGCAGCCCATGGAGCAGATATCCACCTGCAGCTCCTGCAGGACCCCATGCCAGAGCAGGTGAACTCATGAATGAGGCTGTGACCCTGTGGGAAGTCCATGCTGGAGCAGACTCCTGGAAGGGCCTATGAACCCACAGAGAGAGAGAGGAACCCATGCTGGAGCAGGTTTGCTGGTAGGACTTGTGAACCTGTCAGTCTCCCAAAGTTCTACACCCAGTGGAAGGGACCCACGCTGGAGCAGTGTGTGAGAAAGACTCATGCTGGAGTTTGTGGAGGAATGTTACGTGTGGGAGGGACAGAGAGGAGGAGCAGGGGAAGAGTGTGATGAGTCCTGCCCTTGAAGGGGAAGGAACAGCAGAGACAATGTACAATGAACTGACTGCAGCCCCATTCCCTGTCCCCCTGTCCTGCTGGCAGGAGGAGGTAGAGAAATCAGAAGTGAAGCTGAGCCCAGGAAGAAGAGAGGAGTGGGGGAAAGGTGTTCTACGATTTGGTTTTATTTGACATTATTTTACACAGATTTGATTGGTAATAAATTAATTTCCCCAAGCTGAGTCTTTTTTGCCCAAAAGAGTAATTGCTGAGTGATCGCTCCCTGCCCTTATCTCATCCCACAAGGCTTTTATTATATTTTTTTCCCCTGTCCATCTGAGGAGGGGAGTGATAGAGCAGCTTTGACAGGCACCTGGCACCCATCAGTCAACCCACTACAGACTGTTCCCTGGCACTGAGGTCAATTCACATGCAAGAGCCTCTCTCCATGCTATTACTGTCTATCATCTGCTGGAACAGAAGGACCACATCCAGATCACCTTTTAAGAATGATCATTGTCCTATTCTAACACCTGATCCATGGCTAAGAATTGGTCGGGAGGGTATAAATTAGCCCAGTTTAAAACCATTCCGGGGAGTGATACAGGGAAGTGAGTTTTGATTCCTGGGTTTGTTTCCTGGCACAGTTTATTTTATTTGCATTTTTTATAGGCATGCCTCATGAAGCACAGCATATCTTTTAATCTCTCATGCAAAAACATGGAAGAAGTAATGGCTGTAAATTAGAACTACAAAAACAGAAATGCAAATTTGCAACAAGTTGATTAACCTTTGAAAGAAGCTGTAAACTCAGTATCTCTTAATGTCTTCCCTTGTCAAGACAGTCTCCTGCAGAACATGTAAAAATTAGTGGGCTCAGGAAAAATATCATGGTAAACCTTGGGTTAAACCAAATAGCCTGTTAATCCCTACTGGGGATAAATTATGTAGAAAAATCATATGTAAAAGTATCATTTGCTTCTTGTGTTACATTATTATTAGATATAATTATGTATCCCTTCATTTTACGGAAGCATCTTCCAAAATTTGCCATATGAATTTCTCACTCAGCTGACATGCTTATTCCAAGGGTTATGTTTTGACATTTACCTGCAGGTAGAAAAGGGGGGCACCTTTCTCGGTTCTGGCAGGAAATGGTCAGGGAGACATACCTGTGTTCAGGGCAGGGCAGCAGCTTGTGCCAAACTCCTTAAATCCAGGAGCACATCTGCACTTACCCCATGACACTGGCCAGAACGAAAGGTAAAGTAAGTTTGAACAGAATTGTAGCTTTTAAATCTCCAGACTACGACATTTTCTATATGCTTTTGCTTTTCTCATGCATTTTCATGATGAATAGGCCTTAAGTTCAGTATTTGTTACTGAGATATACCTGGATATTATGTATTAATAAAGAGAACATTCCCAAATTTCCTACTTCATCTTTCTAGCCTTCATCTTCATCTTTCTGTCTTCATCTTTCTATACTTCATCTCTCTATCTTTGCTCTCAAAGGGACTGGTGAGGTGTATACTGTCCTGTGGACCCAATACATATTGTTTTTCTTCCTGTGAAAATCTAGAAAAAATGCACTCAAACCCTCTTTGCACTTTTCCACTCATTCATTTTAGTAGCCTATAGCCCGGAGTTATGGATACAGAGTATTAGCTGTTAAAATGTCAAAACTTGTTGTAACCAGAAGCAGCAACCATTACTTGAGGGATATTTAAGCACGGTTTAGTGAATACTTTTAAAGCTTACAAATGGCTCTTTTGAAAAGGAAAGGGATTTTTTAGTTATACTATTGCATGGAACTGGAAAAATCAAACTGAAACGTGTCACATAGAATAAAACTCCTAATTAGGGCTCAACTGGCAGTGCTGGTGATCCACCATCCCCTAAAATACAAGTGTGTTCACAGAATTTTGTTGGTACGAAATCTGTTCCATTTTTGGCCAGGCTATTGGATATCATAAGCAATTGTGTCAAGCAAAAGTCAAATACAGGGCAGAAGGGGTAGCTAAATGTACAGTATGATCTCTGTACAACTCAGAGCATCTGGATAGCATTCTGTGAAGCCAGCTGTGTTTTCATAGCAGAATTTTAGATATTGATGTATATGTGCTGTCTTGGTTTAATGCAGCCTTGGTCTAGAGCTGAAGATTTAACCCTAGAAATTTCTTATTTATGACAGACTTTATCCTGTCCCTATTTATACCACTTAAATACTAGGTTTTCAAACATTACTGAAGCAGTTGGCATAGAGAATCAAAAGTTTGGCGAGTCCTGAAGAAATCTGTGTTATCAGCCTGGCAGTTTAGATCTGGTCTGTCTCCATGTGCACTGATATAAAATGTTGAAGGCGATTTAACTTTTTCATCAAGATGTGTTATTGATGTTCTAAATATGTGTTCTAAAGAATTAAGCATCCATAACCTCTCACTGAAATCAAAGTTGCTGAAGTTTTCGGGAGCTGTCTGTCCTCCACCCAAAGTCAGTGTGCAAAGGCATGTGTGCATTACTTAAAAGCAGAAGGCTATCCATATAGGTGCTTATTATTAAATTTGGAAATCTAACTCTGGGAACAGAATCTCATGTATTTGCTTTAAATCTTAGTGAGGACATTTGTTGTTTGAGTATAATAACTTTGCTTTAGCCCTGGGCAATATTACTTTTACCTACAGATTTGTAAATCCTTTGACAACAGCTAAGAGTTTTGGAGACTGCTTCAGTAGATTCTTACTTCCTTAGAAGTATGTCTGAGTGTGAGGCTAGATACTTGCCCTTGGTCTGAACAACAATTAATGGAGTGTTTGTGAAGCAGATATTAGAAAATAATAACATTTTAGAGTACAGGCTTAGATAGCAAAAAAAACCAAAAAGCAACCAAAAAAACCCACACACAAAAGTAACACAACCTTAAATAGGACCTTAAAGCTCTGTGCAAAAATAATGACAAAAATGCTTCTATGCCCTTGCCTGTGTAATTTTTAATTATATTTTTCTCTTCATGTTTGTCTGTCATGATGATTTTTGTTTCTAATTGTTTGCAGACGTCTCAGTCAGTCTGTTAGCAGTAGTTGTCAGCTTCTGTGGGCTCGCCCTGCTGGTAGTCTCGCTTTTTGTCTTTTGGAAGCTGTGTTGGCCCTGCTGGAAGAGCAAACCTCTCACTTCCAATGCCAGTAATGTCCCTCAGAGCAACTCCAGTGCTCCTACTGAGGTTATGGAGACCAGTGAGAAAAAGGAAGTTAAAGAAAATGGGAAACCTACAACAAAGGTACTTGAAGCTGCACTGAAAATTAGCCACACTTCACCAGATATACCAGCAGAGGTCCAGAACGCACTGAAAGAGCATCTGATCAGACATGCTCGCATGCAGAGGCAGATCACTGAGCCCACGTCGTCATCAAGGTAAGTCAGAGGTACTCGAGTTTCTGGCACCTTTCCTAGGAACAGGTAGACCAGGAATGCTCCGCTGGAAATTTCCAGGATCCTTGAAATCCTGATTCACAGTTTTCTTCACAGTTATGGGTGAAACAGTAGTCACGTGAAGGCAAAGCCTCACTGTTTTTTGAACAGAACATTCTGAAACATACAGTGTACCTTCACTTACACAGTTATTTTAACATATGAAAACAAAACCTACTACTTTGTCAATACATACATTGCTACTTTAATCATTTCCCTTTTAGGTTTTGATTATAAGACTGACTTCGGTGTTATTTTTTAAAGTACTGCAACATCTTTTGACAGAGGTAGATAGATATATCTATTGCTTTTGCAGAAGAAACTTTCCCTCTCCTATAAATAAATTATAGATTCACTGTTGATGGCACATTTCTTTACAACATGGTTTGCCAATTATGGTGTGTATTATGAAGGAATTGAAACCCCAGTCTAAGTACATAGGTCCTTATTGACAGATCTTAAAACAATAGAGATTCTATAGAGGTCTTTAAATAAATGACATGCATACAGCATTCCTAAAATGATTTCTTTGCTATTAAAGTGGAGGAAACATTTGTATTAGGTACCACTTTATATTGAAAAGTAGTGAAGACATGCAGGGACTTATAATTTCAAATGGGATTTTCTTCAAATACTGTCAGCAAATTTAATGCATGGAAAACAAACAGTGAACTGCAAAGATCACTTTCTACATTGAAAAAAGAAATATTTTATAAACAGAGAGTGGAGAAATTAAGGCTGGAGGAGGCATCTGAAGTATTGTGTAATGCCATAAATTAGAATACTGTGTAGGAAGTAGCTTTCTCTCAATAATCCATTTGCTAAGGAAACACATTGTTGCCAAAACAAAACAAAAAAACAAACAAAAAAAGGCCTACGCTCACAGTAATCATTAGAGGCATGAGACTGGAGAAGATACATGCTTTACTTTTAGTGGCACATACTTTGTTGGCCTTCTGTGAGTCCCTAAGTTAGCGTTTTGCCAGTTGAGTGTGCTCATTTTGGCGGTGAGCGACCAAGTGCTTTTTCCCAGCTATTCCAACATCGTGAAACAGCCAACAAGCAGCCACAGGAGGCTCCCAAAAATGAGAGCACTCCAGCCAGGGGAGGGCTGACTGACTTTAGCAGCTGAACTATCTCCTGAATTATGAGACTGTACAGATGGCTTTAAGCCACGTTACCCCGGCTATGGCTGGCTCCAGCTACTGTATCTGTCTGCTCAGAGAGGGAGCACAGCATCCAAGCCATTCTGAGGAACATTTGCCACAATACTGGGTTGATAATTTTGAAATTGTAACTGTTATACTGAACCCAGAGGGACCAAAACTGGTACAGTTTAGCATGAAAAGGCTGTTACCCAACTCAGTATTACCTAACTGGGTATTAATTGGTGGAGTTTTATCCATCATTTACCAAAAGGTAAATCCAGGTAATCAGACTGTCTGACTTCCTGAACAGAAAAAAGTAATAGCTGACTGGCAAAGGACTTAAGTAGTCCCTGTGGTACTATAGGGGAAAAAAGAAGTTCCAGAAACATGATCTAGAGCTGCTTCATGCTGTGAAAATATTCTCACAGACCTCTAGAGTGATTTGGACTGGTATCTAAATGCCTGTGAAATATCTGTGACACCAAGGACAGTTTCACAAAATTAAAACCTGCTATCAAACCTACTCTTTCTGCATATGTTGGTAACCTTGTAAGGGAGTTTTCTTTTTATTCTATCTGGATTATCAGGGTTAAATCTTTCCTGAAAGGGACAGTTTCTTTGCTTTGAGTAAACCCTGATTGTTGCACCATAGCCAGTCAATAGCAGGGTGTTTGGAGATATCACCTTCTTTTACAGTTTGCTAAAAAAACTCTGCATTCTTACCACAAAACATGTTAAGAATTAGATGTGTCTTAAAAATTACCCAGTAATAGTAATCTCTCTGTTTGTAAATCCATTTTATCAATACCCCTGCCTGGCTTAAGGGAGTCTTAACTCACTGACAGCCCATATTAATTATTGCTGCCAAGAACATCATGTATGAGAAGAAGGCTGGACATTTAGACCAGCTTTCTGCATTATTCTTAATTGTGATTTAGTCCCAGCTGGCAACTATGTCTAAAACCTGACTCTGGTGTTCTTCATTGGGGGTCTCTAAATATAGGAGAGCCATTAGCAGAGGCAGCACAACTTCTCTTGCATTGTCTTCAATGCAGCACTGCTTCCTTGTCCTCAGGAGTCCTGAGTGATTCAAATGCATTCCATTGACAAAGGATCAAAGAAAAATATTTGCTGCCTGGATTGTCTTCTCTACACTGGTCTCACCTGAGCTGGGGCAAATAAAAGGATTGTAACCAGTTCTATGATAGGTTCATACAGCCATCAGCTTCTTAATAAAATAAATGAAATCATATTAAGTCATTGTAATTGAGCACAAAGATTTTAATAAGCCACTGAGAGCAACAATAAAATGCACCTGATCACAATTTTTAGACCATACATTTAACATAGAGACATGTTAGTGTAGTGAAATGATACATTTCTGCTAGAATAGAACTCTGTCATTTTTATACTTCCCAATAATATGAAAAGACCTTCTTAAAACTCTTTAGTACTTGATCCCAATTAACCAGTACACCATGACAGAAGAACTGCAGTAGTGGTGTTCATTTACAAATATTTCTGCCCTGTGTTATTGCGAAACACTCTTTCCACTACTTTGTGGAAGTATTCTGTAATATAGTTTATTGCTTCTTCAAATGTTCACCTGTATTTTCAAAGAACATACTTTTGGTTCTCTAGCATTAGCATAACATGTTGAGTTAGTCAGTCCTCAAGAGGCACAAGGACAAAAGGGAGGTGCCTGTAAAAGTTAAAGAAAAATGAACATATGTGTTGACTTCAGTGTTTGCAAGGAAGAGACAGCAGTCTCCGTTCCATCTAAATAGCACAAGAACATGCTTTTTCCTGGATTTGGTCCAAAAGATTGCTCTAGTGCCATGTAGAATAGCTAGACCAGAGTCAGCCCTCATAAATCTGAAGTCATGTCATAAATCAGCATCCTATCCCTCTCTTCTTTCATACATATGGCATCTTACTGAGTTGGAAATGAGCTTCACACTGTCACTATTCCTGTGCAGCAAAGTTTTATGTTAGAGATTTACATACAGAGATTTACTGTCACTCAAAATACATCTGTTCTATCCTATGGAAGGCAAGTCTATTATAGGAGTCAGTAGAGGTTGAGGTATCTAGATTTGCATGTTAGTAGCTATGCCACATTTTCACAACGTGGTTGTCTGACATCCTTGTACTTCATTATCACAGTCATTAATCCCTTTGTTATTCCAGAACAAAGGAAGATAAATATGTTGCCATGGCAACAAGGAAACATCTTAATAATTAACAGACCAATTAGCTGTCTTGGTGAAATGCTATGACTCAGAGCAGATACTTGGCACTATGTAATTAGGACTATGGCTTCCTAGAGCAAAAGTGCTGCTGGTTCCCACAGGGGACAGCCATACAGCTGCACTGTTTCACTTAGTGACATCTTGCAACAATGACTACATTCACTAGTGGATCTTGTACGCATAAAGTTTAAAAATAGATTTGGTGTTTTATGTATTACTTTTACATGTTTTAAGACAGATCTTCATAAGCAAAAGAGAAGTTGAAGAAAAGAGAATTTGTCATCTACCTGTTTTCAGCCAAACAGGAAATGTCATACAACGAGCTTCACTATTTCTCTTGCACAGGCAGTTTTATCCAGCGCTTATGTACAATGGGGTTTAAACGCAATACCCCCACGGCAGAGGGATTGGGATCTTTAGGGTCCCTTCCCACTCAAATCATTCTGTGATTCTATGATTATCTGGGCATCTCAGTACCACAGCTGCAGGTATGAGGAGGATTCAGGAAGGCCTACCTGCACGAAGCAGGAGTAACACAGGTCTTCCTGGACCTCATTATGAGTCAAAGATACTAGAGAGATGGTGCCTGAATTGCTGCCTGCCCAAACATTTATTGCACTACATTTTGGGCGGAGTTCAGTTCCTCCCCTGTGTTTGGCACACCTATGAGGTTGGACTTCTCAGAGGAAAAATGCTATGAAGCTCCCTGGGGACAATATTGTACTTTTCTGACCTGTTGGGGCCTTTTCATTCCTCACTCCATTCCAATGTGGACATCATCTACTATGAATTCAGGGAGTTCTAACATTTAAGAGAAATGGAAATCTTTAAACTTGTCTGTGAAGAAAGAAAGGCAGAATGTGATGCATGAGGGTTGTATAGTTCATCTAAATTTGAGATCACACCTGGATTTTTTGGAGCTACTTCAAATCTAGACTATGAAATTCTCCCTCCCCTGTTCTTGTGTAGTGCTAGGACTGCTCCCTGCACCTAGCAGTACTGAAATAGCTGAAAGGGGAAATGTTCTTGTCTATTATTTAATAGCTGCAGATTACCCTCTTGTATCTCTGCTCAGCAGAACTGCGGTAGTTTTGTGCCTCATGCCTTGTGCAACCTCTTCACTTACAGCAAAAATACAAATAATATCTATGAAATGAGTCCTGGTTGCTTTCAAATGGACAATTTGCATTTCTGATTTAAAGAAAGAAACACACAGCTGTGACACCTCTTGTTTTCAGAACACAACACCACAGGGAAACCAAGCAATAAGGCAAGGCTACATTTGGCATTAATAAGCAATTGATTGCAAAAAGCAGAGGAAATTCTGACAATCGGATTGCTCTGTAATGGCAACTAAGTGTGCTAACAGGAGGATGTAGTGAGCTTTTGCAGTACTGATTGCTGGGGTAGTGAAGTAGCGAGAAAATGTGAAAATGTCCAGAACATAAACTGGAGAGTGTAGTCATAATGGAATCTACTGCTGATAAATGCTATGAAGCTTTTTGACCAGTGTTTTTATATTATTGTAAGGCTGTATGGTATGCCAGGGTTTTGATTTCAGTCACAGTAGGAATGGCACAGCTTTCCATTTATGTTCATGAGCCAAGTTAAGCCCATAAATACATATGCTTATGCAACACTGTATTCAGAATTACAAGGATTTTAACATATTTTATGTTAGTACAGGGATCAGCTTTCAATACACTGCACAGCAGACAGTGAGAACAGAAGGGAAAAAAGCTGTCACAGAAAAATGCTGACCAAAACTTTGAAATGTATGGCAGCCAGAACAAAATGTTCCTGGTCAGATTGGAGAAGGCAGCCTCTACCTCAGTGTAGCAAATACCAAGCAGGTGTATATAAAATGCTGTAGGATGGCAAAACACTCTGGCAAAAACCTCCAGGCATAGCTGTCCCTTTCAGGCGCCTTTCACGGTCATCATTGTGAAGCTTGGTAAATATTTAATTGGAAAACCACCATGGAATGCCTCCAAAAACCAGGGAGTGCTAATGACAATTCTGCAAGTGCCTTTTTTTTTTTGCCTTACTGTACTTTACTCAGGCCCTAGCACAGTGGGATCAAGCAAAGCTGGGACTGTCAACTTGTTCTGTGAAAGAACATGAATTCAGTTTCAGCTGCATAGTCTGAAAGCAAGGTTATAAATATATGTATCTCCAAGATACTGGGTGTCTCTCAGGTCAAGAAATTAATTCTGAATGATTATTTCTCTCAAAGATGTTTAAACACTTGCAAATAATTGAGGGGGGATTACTTTAAAATAATATTTAAGATAGGAACCCTTATTAATTTGGTCTTCTTGTATTTTCTGTTTAGCAATGGTCTTTTCTCAGAGATAACCACGGCTTGTTTTGTGTGTGTGTGTGTATGTGTGTGTGTGTGTGCAGGCACAATTCTTTCAGGAGGCACTTGCCAAGGCAGATGCAGGTGTCCAGTGTTGATTTTAACATGGGGACAGATCCGATTTTGCAAAGGGGAGAGACGACAACCAGCATTGGGAGAATAAAACCAGAACTCTACAAACAGAAGTCTGTGGATTCTGATGGGCAACAAGAAGATGTGAAAACATGTGGAAAACTTAACTTCACTCTCCGGTATGATTATGAAAATGAACTTCTGGCTGTCACAATTGTCAAAGCCTTAGATCTGCCTGCTAAAGACTTCACAGGAACATCCGACCCCTACGTTAAGATTTATCTGCTTCCAGATAGGAAAAAGAAGTTTCAGACACGAGTTCACAGAAAGACATTAAATCCTGTCTTTGATGAAACCTTTCAGTTTCCTGTAGCCTATGATCAACTCAGCAACAGGAAATTGCATTTCAGTGTTTATGATTTTGACAGATTTTCTAGACATGACATGATTGGGGAAGTTATTCTTGATAACCTTTTTGAAGTCTCAGATCTCTCCAGGGAAGCCAATGTATGGAAAGACATCCACTGTGCCACCACAGTAAGTAGTGTGTTCCAAAAGCATTGATATGATATTTTCATTTCTCTTTTGTAGTTTGTGGCAGTGTATCCTGTTTATCAGCAGAGTCTAGAATAAAAAAAAAAAAAAAAAAGTTGTCAATATTTTCCTCTGAGCACAGAAAATAAGATGCGTGGGAAGTTATAAAATTTAATTACTAAAAAATCTTCTGGGAACATACTGTCATCTTTATGTCTCACTGTCTATATATAAATTATGTTTATTAATTAAATACAGCATCATGAAAGTCACTGCCTAGCAAGAACTATTAACATTTTCCTGTTAGCAAAACACATGGTCCTGCAAAATGACCATCTATTAAGGAAAAGGGCCCATCCCATCCTACTCTTTTTAGTAGATTTTCATAGGTTAGGAGTCTTGCAAAGGAAAAAAGGCTAAAAGTGCTTGAAGTCTAAAATGTTCTTTGCTGACTGCCCTGTGCTTAGGGTCCCCAGTAGATGTATCTGCGTTGCTGCTGGTTATTAGCAGAACTCAAGAGACACAAGCAAGTAGAATTAGGAAATAGAAATTAATTTGTTTACTGTTGCAAGTAAGAAAAGGAGGCATGTGCATGGATGACTGGACAGATGGCATGCTACCAGAGAGAAAAGCAACGATCTCCAAACATTGTCTTTATTAACCTTGAAATCCAAACTCATCCTCCCCAGCCGGAATTTGAACAGAAAAAAAAGCATTTAAAATGTTGAGTTGTAGGATGTTTGTTTTGGTCTTGGTTTCTTTTTAACTATGCTATTTATATAAACGTTTTCCCATCCCTTGCTCTGTAGGTATATCCAAAACAGTCTGACTCATGACTGTTTGAGCACAGGCTAGTCTTCCATATGGGGATGAACAGAGGGCGGAGCAATACTAGACATTGCTCCAGTGACAGGAGTTTCACACCATCCCTTCATTAGAGCTGGACACTCCCCATGCCTTTTTTACCAAACATTTTTGTGATGTTAGTACCTGCTAGACAGTGAAGTCTAGGTCTGCATGATTAGAAAGACAAAGAGGACTGGTATGTCCTCACCAGACTGAGCATTAGCCCTGTGTTTCTCAAGAAATGAGAAATACCGGGCAGAAATACCAGTCTCCAGCATAGTGGAGACAGTTTTTGAATGTGAATTCACAGCAGCAGCTATTTATTTTAACTGCTGGGTCTATCAAAGTGGTCTGAACAGCCTTCGGCACACCTCCAGAAAAATGAATCTATGTATGCTTAGTTTGACCTAGCTCAGATTTCAGGTAAATTTAAGAATTGTGTTTTCAAGCTTAAAATTGAATCTGTGTTTAAGGTCTTGGAACCAGTCCAGTAACCATTTTTAAAAATTTCTTCTAGCTTTGTTATTATCTTTCATACTTTAGTAATGACTTAGATGCTCACCAGTCCTTTACAGCAGGCATGTGTGTGAGATTTTTTTGCTGATAACTATAATGGTTTCAGAAAATTAGGATCTCTGGACTCTTTATCACTGGTTTTGAGTAGATTGAATTGCCATACCAAATTATGCAGTTGGGATAGGTACTAATATACATCTAGATGAAAATGGTTGCTAAACTTGGCACTGAATAGTAATTCAAGTTTCTTCCTTGCTAAGGGTTAGTGCATGCAGTTATAGTGCCTAACTCATTCTGCTGGTGTTTTGATTTGTATGAAGCTTAAGAGAAAGCATGAAGTTCTTGGATTTCAGCCTTTCAGCCAGTATAGTTTACAAGACTGCACATGAATGGAAAAGTTACCTCCCCTTAAACCATTAACAATAAGCATATAAAATTGAGATATCTTCTAGTATTGGGTGACCTCATTAGCTTCCACAAGCCCTAATCTATTCACAGAAAATTATGTAAGAAACTAATTGAATTGATTTTTTCCCAGAAAAATTAAATCCTCCTATAAGATGTGCTGTTATTATATTTGCAATGTACTGCCCTGTGTTTTACTTGAGCTGTTTCATGTAGATTAAAATTGGCTAATAATACAGGTTTTAGTTCTGGCATTTCAGAAACTGCAAGCTGAGACATCCAAACGTGCACAGAGGTAAACACTGCATGAGATGTTAATCACTGGGGACTTATAGTCTTAGGCACCAGATCTGAAGTTTATCAAAGTCATTAACTAGCAATTAAATAACTAATTAATGCTTGACAGAGTCAACTGAACTTTGATTAGGCCTTGAAAAAGAAAGATGCAGCTAGTTCTACAATTGGTGAAAAATAATTCTACTGCAAGCACACATGCTTTGATGTTCATAAAGAACCTTTGAAAATCAAAGAGGCTGTCTCAGTGGAAAAGGCCATACTTACACAGTAGAGCCCAGGAACCAAGATGCCATTCTGCAAATATATTTCTCTCATGCTTTTTTCTTCTTCACCTTTGCTCCATTTTGTTGTATTTTCTGTGAAGTTTTTCATCCCTTTGCTTACACTTGTTTCCTACATTTGGTGGTCTGCTCATGCTGTTGCTAAATGATAGATGGTGCAAAATTATAGAAGTGCTAGATCAAAGTATTAGTTCAAAACTTAAAGGACACAGCAGAAGTAGCATGTCCTGAGCTACAAGTCTTTTACATCTCTTCCATAGTCAAGAATTTTATATTCAGAAGGGAAAATGAGGGTAAAAACAATTCCTATAAAACAATTCCTATTACCTGCTTGAAAAGAACCTACTTTTATGACACAAAACTGCAGTCTTGAACACTACTAGAGAGATTTACGAAGAAAATGAGTTGCAACATTTTACCAGTGAAGGAAATTAATGCAGGAAATCGGGAGATTCTCTGTTATGCAAAGACTCCTTTTCATTAGCTAACATCATTTTTAAAAGATTTGCTTGCACATCCATAAAAAATTTTTATTTTGTGCAAGAAATAGAGTCTGGGAAAGATCAGGCTAGATGGTTGCACTGAGTCCTTTTGGTGGTGAAACCAATGGCTCTGTGGGAATCTACAGTTTTAATACATTTTTTTTGCTCATAATAACAATTTGAAACTATTCTATAGAAGTGCAGGATGGGCATACACACCCATTTTTATTCTTATGGTTTTCAACTGCTGATATGTACTCAAATAAATATGTTGTGTTGAAAACCTATAACATTGCATAATGTATAGCATGTACCTGCTGTAAGTGTTAAAGTATTTTCATTTCTTCATGTCAGATTAACAAGGTAAATTTGGTGTATAATCAGTTGTGGAAGAGATATATCTTAGATATCTGATGATATTAATATCCCCAAATTTTGCTGATACATGGATGATTGAATTTTTAATAAGTATTCCACCATTTGCTTCTGTTCACTTGATTGATTTAAAAAAAAAAGAAAAAAATCAAGAGACAGCTTGGGACCACCTGTGAAAGTTGTTCAGTATATAGGAATACTGTAATTCTTAATACACTTTAGAACATTAATTCATAACATCAGAGTCAAACAAATAATATCAAATGAATTGTTTAATCAACATATTTTTTGTGAAGTGCTTGTAAATTTTCTATACATTTCTGAGGTTTTGTTACTATCAAAAATATACTGCATACTTTAAAAAAAAAAGAAGACTCATTTACTGGAATTGCTAAACAAGTACTTAACTCCTAATACTCAGTGTCTTAAAATTGTCTAGGCAAAAAGTCCACCTCTTGTGATCCAAAAATTTCTGAATGTAAAAGTTTAGTAACTTCCTATAATACTTGTTAAAATTATTGATTACTTTGGAAATCTCTGCCTCTAATGTCATCGTCTAAAAAAATTGGCAAGTGACTGTCAGAAACACTTTTTTTCTAAAGGTGTTCTGTGAAGTCTGTTAGAGTAACCAATTATAGGAAACTACACAATTGGGAAAAAAAATAGAGCTCAGAATTCAGATAAAAACCATTTCCAGCACAATGGTAGTCTCTTGGGGATCTTAGCCATCAAACTGTCATATACTTGTAGCCTCTTGAATTATCTCATGTAGACAGATGGAACTCGATTATTATTTAGTTCTCCAACACCAGGCATTTCAGAGCTGCAGTTTTCTCATTTGTGAAGTGGAATATAAAAGGTTTTGTAAGGACATAGTCTTCATGTGATGTCCATGGTGTATGATTGCTGTTTCTAAAGCAATTGAAATGTAAGTGAATAGTGTCACTGGGAAAGAGAGAAGTGCTTAAATATACTTTTTTAACATTTGTCTCAGTTCATTTATATTGAACACTGGCTATAGTATATCACAAAGTCAATCCTGCTGGCTGTTGGCTTCTGTTATGGAAAGAGATTCTTCTGACTTCTTGATGAACCAAGAATGAAGGCCATCTCTGAAGTTCACCCAGAGCAATTGCAGTCATTATCTCATCTTAGTTTTCTCCATAGTCTGCTGCTTTGTAAGTGGACAGAAAAGTGGAACTAGTGGTAGAAAGCTGACAAAGATATACTATTAGTGTTTCTGGAAATGCACCTAAAAGCTTTAACAGAATGTTAAACAGGTCTGAAAGAGTAAAGGGTTGTCAGTGTAGAAACATTTATCATCTTACAAGGGGAACAGCCCCTTCTAAGCCGAGAATTGCTGGCACTTGTCATTTCTGCTCAGGGCCAGTGATATAAAGGATACACATGGTCACTGCTGTGGCTGAGCAGGTGAGAAAATACTCTGAATGAGTCTCAAGAGGAAACAGTTTGAGATTTTTAGTTTAGGTTTGGGACTGCTTCAAGTGTGGGTGATAACTAGAAAAAGCAATTCAGAAAGGGAGGGGTTCCATCTGGTTACTGAAGGCAGGGAAGGTTTCTATTATTATTCAGTGTTTCTTTTAATTTGAAATTCCAAATTATTTGAATATTCTGATTTCCTAGAGGCAAACTAGTACTTTCAGTCCATCTTAAAAGTAGTAAATATTAGACGAATGAAGAACATCGTTTCCTCAAAGGATTTTAATATCTCTGCATCCAGACAGTGCTGTGGTAGCTATGTTAGGGTGCATGGCTTGTCTCACCTGCTGTGCCCTAATTG